AATTGAATGCATATCGTGGTAATTGATATATGTGAGATAACAATCACTAGTGAAATGAGTCTGACTAATATAGAAAGAAAAAAAAACGATGCCACAAATTGCGCGGATTCATTAATAAAATTGGACTACTTTTGATCTTCGTCTCCTTTGGGCCATTCCCACAAGATATTAATATCACAGATGCTAACAGATCACTTTTACACTCTCTCTCATTTACACACACACACACACACACTTATATAATATAATGTGAAACCAATTTATCTGTACTTGCGTATGAAACAAACGATGTTTATCTATGTAAATAAACACATTTTAATTTATATAAAAATGGGCAAAGAGAACGAGAGGATATATCTATCTATCTAGCTAGCTATATATATATATATATATATATATATATATATATATATATATATCTGTCTACTGTCTCTCTCTCTCTCTCTCTCTCTCTCTATATATATATATATATATATATATATATATATATATATACATAAAGAGCATGTTAAAGTTATTTTTACCATTATATATATGCATAAATTAAATGCACTTATAGGAAATGATAGATCGTTTCATATGTTCATGTGTACAAGATAAGTATAGCTTTTCCATAAGTACGCATTCACGCATATACAGTTACACAATATTTGCGGCTTCTAACACCTACCCACACGAATATATAAATGAATATATATATATATATATATATATATATATATATATAAAATTAATATATATGTGTGTGTGTGTTTGTTCGAGGGCGTTGACTGGAAACTTTCAGCTACACCCACTTACAATGATTTGACCTAATGACTAAACATTATAACTTTTTACGAATGAAAAGTCAGAACATAATCATTCAGCCCCTTCTAACACACAGACACGAACGCATGCACACAAATACACACACACACGCACACATATAAATATGTATAGATATATATCTGGTGAACATCAAAATTGTCTAATTGTTAGATTAAGGTTTGAACCCTTGCATGTTAGAAATGATTAAAGATATCTTACAGGAATTCTCTGATGTTTATATAACATTATTGGACTCTACTTTGAGCGATAACAATGCATTTAGCTCTTAGCTGAAATAATGATCTATTTTGATGTTGTGACCTCCTGATATAATTTTCCTCTCTACTGCTCCTTTTTCACTGTTCTCAGGATGGTTCTTGAATAAACTTTGAAGATGAAAGCCAGAGTATGAATGTTGGTTCCATTACTGATGGCCCGTATGATATTTGCATCTCACCATTGCTTAGTTGGGAAGACATAGTGGGGATTTAAACTTGTTTTCCTTCTAGCTGAATAAGTCAAAAGGTTCTTCAGTAATTCTTGCGACAAACGGCGTCAAGATGGCTAAACGTCTAATCTGAAAATCTGGAAAACAGAAACGGAATTAGACTAGTGTTTTTGTGTTGTGGTAGGATCCACCTAATTTGCATAGTGGAGTACCGACCATATAAATATGGTTGGTACCGGGAAGAGAGGAAGGAATCAAGAGATTCAACCAGAGACTCTGCCCGACTGCGACTCAGTCAACCCATTCTCCAGGAACGGTCTTACCAGGAATATACAAAAGACTATATGTAAATATTGTTTACACTTTCTTGTTTCAATACATTTTGTTCTAAGTACATTTTGTGTTGCATTATTATTCCATGCATTAGTCAAGTTTCAACATTTTGTTTTTAGATATTAAATATTTTGTGGGATAGACAATTATGCTGTTACACGTTTTGGACAATTTTGAAGTTACACCCGATATATATATATATACATACGCTCCATCGACACTGTTTCGGGTGAGGGCTCTGGTATGAATAACAGTTTGAAATACGTGTGCACATTCAAACCCTCGATCATGGTGAATTGTGACATCCTGCTAGAAGAACCGTCGACTTGCTCACACCCAATTTCATTCACAGTACTTACGAATGGTTTTCAGCCGCTTTTCAAGAGTGCTACAGTCTGTGAATGACTCCACCAATATATTCAAGAAATCACATTTCAAACAAATCAACAACGGAGGGTTTCGAACTCAGGTTTAAATAGTCGTAAAAACGTACTTTGGAATTCGATTCCAATGTAATAAATTATAACCAAGGAATAAAAGTGTTTCTTTTTTTTATATTATATTCTTACTCAGTCCTGGATATTGAGTTCTACCTGGATTCTATCCTCTTGGAAATATATATATATATATATATATATATATATATATGAAGAAATATAGTCTTAAGGTGTGCTATATTTATAGGATAAAGTACTACAATATCAGAGATAGAGTGTGAGAAAATATAAAAAGTAAAATTCAAGAAAAAACATAGGAATAAAATAGACACATCGTTCATTTAACGTCTTTCTCTCTCTCTCTCTCTCTCTCTATATATATATATATATATATATATATATATTTATATATGTATGTATTTATGTTGTTTTGGTAAACATTTAGATACATACACACATATATTCTATATAGGATATCCACACACATAAACCCACATATACACAATATACACATATATATGTTGTGTTAGTTGTATATATATATATATATATATATATATATATATATATATATATATATATAAAAAGAGTTTAAATAAAAAATTTTTGAAATTTTTCAAAAAAAGCTATTTTAATTTTATAAATTAAGAAACTTCAATTTCATTCTATAGGAAAAATACGATATATATAATATATATATATATATATATATATATATATATATATATATATATATGTTTTGTGTGTGTGTGTGTTTCAAATTTATGTGTATGGTATCTGCGCGTGTGTGTGTGCATTTTGTTTGTTTTGTATTTTTTTTTTTAGTGGTCGCGAAATGAAATGATTAGAACCAAAAAATATCTTAGAAAAAAGTTCAAAAAGATCATCAAATTACAACAATCAATCAAAACATGCAAACTTTGCATGGAGCTATTATTTTTTCCAAGACCAAAACAAATTACTAAGTAAAAACCTGAGCTCATCTCAAAATGCAACAAAGAAAACAATTTTTACTACATTAAATTAAAAAATCGAAAAATGAAAAAGATAAACAAAAATAAATAAAATAATATAAAAAACAAGTAAAATAAATTGACAAAACACGCTCTCTAGAATAGACGAAATAGTACAAATAGAAATAGAAAATAAATACATAAAATACAAGTGAAAATAATCAATCCGAATAAATAAATAAGCAATAAACAAATCAACAAACCAATCCCGCCAAAATAACCGTTAGAATGGATTTCAACAATCAATCCAAAATTGGACGAGGAAATAGCTATAACTACTATATAACGATGAAAAAATTACTACGTTACTCCAAAATCGAAAACCGAATAGAGTATATAAAAACATAAAAAATAAAAAATAAAAATAAAAACTAATCCAAAACAAATAAATAAATAAAGAAAGTACAAATCGCTCCCACTAAAATAACCGAACTAATAAATAAACATAAGTTTAATAAGCGACCAAAGCAAGTCCGCCTAATTTTTTTTACCGCGTTAATAAAACATAGAAAACCGATGAGATTAAATAATTATATAAAATAAAAAATAAAAATATAAAAAAAAGTAAAATAAATCAACCCGAATAAATAAATAAGTAAATAAATAAATAAACATGCCACTCCCGCTAAAATAACCGCCCGACTGGATTACCCACAATGCACCAATGTCCCATATATAAATAGTCGAAAAAATCCAATACTCGCGGACTGATGATTGCGTCTAGCGTTAAACAGTCTGTTGCCTCTGAATGTTGACTTCAGTGTTCACTTATATATATATATATATAATAAAATATCTCAAAACTTTCTCTCTCTCTCTCTCTCTCTCTCTCTCTCTCTCTCTATATATATATATATATGATAAAATATATTTTCATGGTATGCAATATTTATGGATTAAATTGCTCAGTAGCAGAGATAGTGTATGTAAATACAAAAGTTGATATTGAAGTCAGCACCCAGCAGTGACAGTCTGTATCATCCTCTCTCTCTCTCTCCTCTTTTCTCTTCTATCTATTCCTACTTCTCTTTCTCTCTCTTTCCCTATTATATATATATATATATATATATATATATATATATATATATATATATATATATATATATATATATATATATATATTTAGAGAGAGAGAGATTGAGAGAGAATTATTTAAAAATAAGAATATTTGGTTTCCTTTCTATGCAGTTTTTCTGTTTTCGTACAAAGGAACAAATGTCTGGTTGAAGACTCTACAGAAAGTGTCTATAGTTTTTATTCTCGGTTTATTCAATTGCTTCCTGACTTATTCTGATCATTTTGGGGAATAAAACAATTTCTTGAAATCGGCTATCGACATCGGAAAGTGGCCAGTTCCTTCCTCGTCCGGAAACAAAATTATCCCAATATTAATTGTCTGTCGTGTTCAATAACACATGTATTATGTTGAAATTAAATCCCTGTCGACATGATCGCTTTTAGGGTATTTTTGTAGTGTAATTTTTCATATTCTTACGGTGAAATATCCGTTAATCTCTAATAACTATTTTTTTTCTTTCTTTTCAGACTACTTAATATCAGAGTGCGTAAATTTGCGATCGATTTTACCTTTTTAAAATGAGCTTAGAATGGACATTGTAGGCTGTAGGAAGTGAAAAGGGTCCCGTCTGCAATGGGAGCGGCAATAAACAGTTCTTCTCGCTATGGAAATTAAGCTGAAATGTCCACATATACCAACGTAATTTGGTCAGTTTGGAACGAAAAATGTTTCTCTCGGACACCTCCTCCCTTGATATTTATGATCGCATTCTGTTAACCTTGTGAGTCTGCATATAATAATTGAGGAAAATCCTAAGCAAATTGGACGAGAATTAACAAATCAGGTTAATAAAAATAACACTTTGATCATAAATCACTTTTATTAACTCGGAAAAATATGGGCTTTAAAACCAGACTTGCGATTCTATTTTCTATATTCAATGCAGCAACACCACATTGAAAAACCGGCATCTGTACGATCACCGAAGTTAAGCAACATGGAGCTTGGTCAGTACCTAGACGGGTTACTACTTGGGAATACCAGGTGCTGTATACTTGGATGTGCGGATAGTGTAATGGATAGCGACTCGAAATTCTTAATCGGAGTGCTGCGTTCGAATTGCTGTTGGGAGCGTTATATATATTTACCTTGAGAATGGTATGAATCCATGTCTTCTCCACATTTCTATGGGTTAAACATTATTACTTGTATCACCATTATTATCTCAAAAATATCTTGCAATCTAAAAATATTTTCTGGTTTTAAATAATCTGAAAAGTGTTGATAAGCTGTCAAAAACAAATCAATCAGTCAGAAAAGTATTTAAACTTGTTCAAATAATCTCTCATCATCATCCTTCCTCTCATTAAATAGAAAGATTATATTGAATCAATTGCTGGGAAAGGTTGTTTACCATGTCTGGCTAGAAAATTTTTTTTTTTCTTTCCAGAATCTATCTTACATATTTACAAGTCTACCATTTGATGTTTGACTATTGCAGCATCTGACCTGGAGCTACTGATATATATTTAGAGATTTCTAAAATCCAAAGAAGAATCTGTAATGTTATTGGTCCTGACCTGGCATCACGGCTTCAGTCACTTTCTCACCGCCGTAACGTAGCTTCCTGTACCTTTTGTATAAATACTTTCATGGTAATTGTTTGGATGAACTCTTCTCTATGGTACCTCAATTTATGAATTTAAGCGCAGTACTAGACTAGTGATGAGGTCTCATCAATTTACAGTTGAGCTGGATAAATGTAATCATAAGTTCTATGCTAACAGTTTCTTTTCTCGCACTTCTCGTTTGTGGGGAACTCTTCTGGCTCCACAGTCTTCAGCCAACTCTTTGATCTTAACTAATTTAAAGGCAATGTCAATCGCTATCTACTGTCTTCCTGATTACTTTTTATTGTTCTTAAGTTTCCTTAAATCTATGCAATTTTCTTTTCTTTTAACTCTTTTGCACCTTCTTTTTGCTTTATTCCCAGTGAATTTTTTTCAAAAAAAATATCTCTTGATGAAAAATTTTTCTAAAATAATTTCTATGACAATGGTTTTTTGACTAGTTTAATAGGCAAATAGACCCCTTTTATTTAGACAGTATATTGAAATAGTATTAAATATTATTAAACACTCTGTCTCTTCTTTTTCTTTTCTGCACGGGTTCTTCTCCTTATTATTATTATTGGTTTAATTTTATTTGACTGAAAAAAACAAATTTATTATATTTTCTTTGTCGTTCCTGTAGTTCATTAACATATAAAATTTGCACAATGTTGTACCTCAAAAAAATCAAAAGATATTTTCCCTTCCTACAGACAGATATAGTCAGGATTAAAGCATTAAACTCAAACATTTAATTTCTTTAATACTATTCAATGAACATAAGTTTCAGTAAAATAAAAAATCAGCAAATCAGGAATTAAGGATTCTAACATAAACTAATAAAAAGCCATAATCAGAATTAAAATTTTTGTAAGTTGAAGCCTTTTTATTACTTGATATAAGCAAGGAGAATTATATTTATGCAAATAATTCGGAACAAACATCTGAATTAAAATGAATGTGGAAACAAAGAAAAACTCAACTACATCCCAGACAAGGCATTTGACAAAGAACTAACACTATGCTAATAGACGGGGTTTATGAATAGCCTCACATACTAAAACCAAATATTATCCCAAACTTATTACATTTGTACTAAAATGATCAATCATTTGCCATTCCTACAACAAACTAATTGCTCTGACAACTCATTTTTTTCTTTTCTCACAGCAAAGTGTTCTGTCTAATAAATAGTTGTTATTGTTCATTCTATAAATCCATTTTGTATTTATTCATGTTTCTCATTAGAGGCATATTTAGCTTAGGGCTGACAAAACAAATTATTAGCCATTAAACCTGAGTTTTTACAACAATATAGTTAAAATGATCTTTTAACAAAATATATAAAAATATGGCTTTCAACAATTTCCTGTCCAAATATACTCTTAATCAATTTTCTCTTTTTGTTATTTCTTCTAAACTCTGTCAAATGCCATCTTTTTATCAATGGTTTTTTATTCTTCTTCTATGTGCCATGTCCCTTCAGCATTACCAATGATTATGGCTCTCCAAGATTTCCTATTCTTTATCACTCTTAATAAATTTTGTCTTTTTGTTATCTTTCTTAAAACCTGTTTTGCCATCCTTTTATCAAGCTCAATTATTCTTCTGTGCCATGTCCCTTCAGGACATTGATGATTAATTCTCCACAATTTCCAGTTCTTTGTAGCTCTAAATAAATTTTATCTTTGAAAAATCTCTCCTAAACCTTTTCCTCCATTAACTTTGTTAATACTAGGTAGGTTAATCTTTTGTATTTTTTAAATCTGTCCCTCTTAAAAGAATAAATTTTTATAAAATTTTCAAGCCCTCTTTCCTCACTATCTGGCTTTTTTTTGCAGATTACTGAAATTAATACAATTTTACACATTAAAAATTTTTTGATAAATATTAATTTTGGATGTGAAATTTGTCTGGAATATTTATAAAAAATAATGTTTATATCTCAGTTTTTAAATATCTGAAGTTTTATCATTGGTAGCTCTTGCATTCAGGAAGTTGGACCTAAAAGACCACACTGTTATTGTCTATGTACAAAATGTACTGAGAATCAGAATATAGCATCTGTCCAATGCAAATTTCTAGCCTGTCTGGGCGCGGTAAGCTACAAAATTTATCGTAAGTAGCAATATTAAGTTAGAAGAATCAGGAAAAATTGAGAGAAAGAAGAAGGGAGAAAAAAATGGATTCTGAAAAAAGGTAGGAGGTTAAAATAAGTTGAAAAAAAATGACAAGAAAACCAGGTTTTGAAAAAAAAATGTAGAGAAAAGAGGACAAAAAGAAAGTCAAGATTGAAAATTTTGTTGGAAATCAAATGAAAAATTGCAATATATTACATTTGATTGAAGCAAGAGAGAAAAAAAGAAAGATAAAAATAAAGATAAAAATGGAAAGGAAATCAGGTTAAAAGGAAAAAAATAGAGAAGAGGAAGACAAAAAGACACAGAGAAACAAAAAAAGATTGAAAGGCAGAGATATAAAAATTTTAATAGATTACATTTAAAAATTATCTATATAATTGTTATAGTGGAACACACCTATTCTATAGTTAATAGACTCTCCCACCATAATAAGTAGGACATTCGCTCAGGAATTTTTAAAATCTTTCGATGTCAAACGAAAAGACTATTAGTCAGATACTAAAAGTATCAGCAACCACCACTAGATTTTTTTGTGTCATTACCTATTATATCAAGTTCCTAACGTTTTGTACATTGAACCTATTTTAGGACTCTTGATTTAGTACAAATACAAACCTCCACAATGTGAACATTAAATTTGCTCTACAACAATAATATTATTGCATATATTATTTAAAAATATTCGTCAAAATATAAAGATGCCCCTAGATTTTTTTTCTTTAACTCCATTCCTGAAATAATTACTACTTTTCCAAGCCAAGATACTATTTTAAAAATTTGAATGAAAATGGTTAACTCCTTAATCTGATTTTATTCAAAATAGATAACACATAAATTAATACTAAATTTAAAACAATTTAAATATTAATTACCACATAAAACAAAAGGTCGAAATCATATATACAATATTTTCATTTATCAGACATTGAATTGAATAACGTCATGTTCTCCATATTTGCCTGACTTTATTTGGACATTAACCCAATGAATATTTATAAATGTTCCTAAACTTAAAAAAAACAAAAAAACCAATAACATTTTTTGCTTTTTGTATATAAATACCTGTTATAAAATAAAAAAAAAATTTGCGCTTTGATAAAGTTCCTCAGAGGACAAAATGTGTCAGCTAAGATAAGTATTCCTTTGATCTTTATTCATATTGTCTTTTTACAGATATACTCTTTCTGGAATCTTTACATACATTTATTTGTTTATATAAATAAATTACTTTTAAATATTTAAAAAAAAAAACAGGTGTATATTTTACATATATCTTGCAGCTCTGTAACATTTAAATGTTTTTTTGATTGATTTTTTTATGGTTTACCAACCCTTTTGGGTTATTTAAAGCCCTAAACATATTTCAGATTGTAGGAAGTTGCTTACAGTACCAGGCATTTCCAAGTGGTTCTCCCATCTAAATACCGCTCAAGCTGGACGCTACTTAACTTAAACAATCTCTGATATGAAACATCTGAAATTTATCATAAGTAATATTTACATTGAGATAATTTAACCATTACTGTTACAAGCCATCCAATACAGTACTTGATGTTTGTCTCTTTAATTGCAAAGATGCACCATAGAATTTCTGTTGATTCAGCTTATTTTAATTTTAAATTCAATTCAGGCACAAGGATAAATTTATGGAGCTCCAGTTAAAATTGTATTTTGTTTTCAGTTGATGAAGTTTTTATGCAAAAAGTGTTAGAGCAATTTGGAAATAAATAAATATACATTATATGTGTGTGTGTGGTGTTAGGTCAGTCGGATGACTCAGCATTTATTGATACAATGTCAAGTTATGTTGAATCATTGCTTTGTTGCTGAAACAGAAATATCATTAGGTTCTAGAATGCCCTGCTAGAAAAGTAGTTAGAATTCAGACTTTTTGCAAGTAAGGATCATTTTCAATGGAGGCTTAATAAATATGACCTTGTCTCAGACTTGGTTGAACATTTCGTTTGTAAAATAGTTATCACATCAGTCTTAAAAAAGCTATAACAAAAGAGAGTAAATGCTATATAATTCTTTATAAATTTACCTTGTGTCAGACTTAGTGGAACATTTTGGGTTTGTAAAGTCAATATCAAACATCAATTTTAAGACCTATTAAAACAATTATTTTCAATATAATGCTTTATAAATGTGGCCTTTTGCCAGACTTGGTTTAATATTTCAGTTTGTAAAGTCATTATCACATCAATTTTAAGACCTATTAAAAGAGTTAGTTTCTAGTATAATGCTTTATAAATATGGCCTTGTTCCAGACTTGGTTTAATATTTCAATTTGTAAAGTCAT